ACAAGTCCTTTTAGTGTCATTTAGGTGCATGGAAAGGCAGTTTCTGTGCCATTCTGTGAATGTATGTGAATGTATGTTCTGTGAAGACCAGCGATTAAGAGGTCAATCCAAAGAGCACGTGATCGTCACTGGTTTACATGTGATGGTCATGCGGTGCATCTCTGACCATTCAGGCGCCATCTAGAATTTCATGCCAGAACAGTATTTATATCGTTTTTTACCTCTGATTCACCGCAATGCCTGAACTGTCCTGAGTGCGTTCTCAACAGCCGACGCGTCTTCTTCTTCTTGCTTTACGGCAGATCGCAGACTTATAAGTGCATTACCGCCACCTATCTCTCAAATGGACCATTGACACTCCCAATTGAGATTGTAGATAGAGTGTCAATGGTCCATTTGAGAGAATAAATAATGGGTGATATTTAAACTAACCCTTTACTTACTACCTGTACATTTTTCTACATTCATATGTAGCTCTAAAGAGAATCAGTCTGTTCAGTTGTCATGATAGATTTTTAGCAACAGAGTGCTTGACGTGCCTTGGCGTTTAACAGTTCTAACTTTGTGCAGGTGGGCGATGTTGCTGCTTCTCTCCAGATGGGAAAGCTCTAGCTGTGGGTCTCAACGATGGCAGCTTCCTCATCGTCAACGCCGACACTCTAGAAGACCTGGTGTCATTTCATCACCGCAAAGACATCATATCAGACATCCGCTTCTCTCCTGGTTAGTTAACACACTAATATCAGTTCAATGGAAATACCTAGAGTACTGAGAACATGAATATAGCATCCGAATTCTTTCATCTGATCTATTCGGTATGATAGTATAAACTATTTCTGTACCTTCACATATGCTAATGTAATTAACAAATACTTGCAGGAATATATGAACATATTAATAAGAATGTGATGGCTGGGTCGTGGTAAGACTCAAAACTGAAAAACTGATCTTTATTACAGTAACAGGCAAGTATTTGGCTGTGGCATCAGGTGACAGCTTAGTGGATATTTACAACGTGATGAGCAGCAAGAGGGTTGGTGTGTGCAAAGGCTCCATGAACTACATCACCCATCTGGACTGGGACAAGAGAGGTGAGACAGATACAAGACACAAACGCTGTGTTTCAGAGAGCAAATGAGTCAAGGGACGTTCACACTGGCAGCATTTTGTATCAACAATGCGACCAGAAGTCATTCATCTTCAGTGAGAGTTGGGGATTTCAGGCAACATGAGTGATAGTCACAGGGATGCAATGTGTCTGATGCAAGTTGAGGCGGGTTTAACTTTTATGCAATTTTATGCAATACTTTTAACATTTATGCAATGTGGAGACTAGTTGAAGTGAAGACATCTCTTGTGAGTTCTTGTGATCCGTGTCCTTCTAATTAGGGGAGAGCGGGGTAAGTTGAGCCACATGGAGTTAAACTGTGCCATTGATTATGTTGAAGTAAAACTGAACATTTTCACCTCATGCTATATCAAAGGAAGAGAAATGCAATAAAAATGACTTGTGTGAGCCTTGTGATGGACTGGCCATCCATCCAGTGTGTTTCCCTGCCTGTGGCTCAAGATGCTGGTTTAGGCTCCAGCTCCCTGCAATGCTAATAAGGACAAAGAGCTTTGGATAATGGATTGGATGGATGGATGACTTCTTAAAACGTCTTAAAACGTATTATTATTTAAAGATACAATACACAATTATGAAGGCATTTTTAAATCATTTAAAAATTTCATAACAAAAAGAAAGTTCAAATTGAAGAAAAAAAAAAAAAAACTGCAATTGACCTTACAGAACTGGGCTAATACTCAACATCCCACTTTCACCCAACATCCTAAATTTCATAAAAACTTTAATGGGCAATTTTCATAAACAAGGCCTATTTAAAATTTAACAATTTTCAGAACAAAATCAAGTTCAAAACAAAGAACAAAATCAAAAATGCTTGATCTAAAATGAATGAAGTATAATGTAGAATTACAGTAAAATAATAATTTATAATCATAAAAAGGGATGAGCCACTGGCTTGACTTACCCCAGGACTCTCGGCTCAAATTACCCCACTCCTACCATTTTAACAAACTTGTATCATCCTCCAGTTTAGAGCTAATATCATGCTTAACAATAAAGCCTCATATTATAACTTAATAAAGCACAAACACGTGTGATATTTTTTCAGATTTGTCTGTAATTGTTCAGACACAAAAAGCATGAGACCTTGAACATAAAAAACAATTTGGACAGCAAAAAACTGTTTTTTGAACTTAAATGTAGTTACCAGTTATTCCATATGCCTTAATCACAGGGTGAGTAAAATGGATAACTCTTAACATATTTGTGGTCACATTACCAATTTTGTTTAATGTTGCCTAGAAACAAGGGGTGGGTCAACTCTCCCCCTACTGTGGTTTTGTGTAGGCAAGATTGAAGACGTGTCAGAAAATTAGGATTCTATAAGTTTTCTACACACATATTACATGCCATATTTCATCTCAAGCTCTTCACTAACACTGTTGTTGCCTTGGTAAAGTACACTGACTTAGAAAAATCTTTATTAAGTGCACAGTTGTTTGGTGTGGTGGAAATTACACCACAACTGAGGGACAGTTGTAATTTCTGAAAAACTGATATAAGAAATTTTTACAAAATAAATATTGAATATATTGTAAACAATAATATTTAATAGATATACTTAATGTTTTTGTGGTGAATTTTCATAGTTTAGAGTGCAAGTCTGATTGAAAGTCTAGGTTTAGGTCAAGGGCAATACAATTTTGTATAAAAGTCCGTTTTAATACAACAATTAGAAGAACTAAAATAATAAATTACTTCAGAGATAAAATGAATGGGATTTTTTTTTCTTCACCTGCCTTACTGTTGTGCTCTAAAGCTTTTGCTTCTTGTGCAGCCCAACAGTATCCTTAAGGCCCAGGTTTACTTCATTTTCCTCGTTCCGCTTCGTCTCGCACACAAAGTATACTCAGCCGCGGTTGAGTGCGGATTGATGAGTTCGAGACGTGCAGTAACACCTAGTGGACTCTTTCTATCTCAGCATTCAGCTCGCACCTGTTGTAAGTGCACTGTCCAGGCAGACAGAAAAATGTATGTACAGACATCCACGGACACTGCTGATAACAAAAATTACTTCACGTGGACAGTGCGTGGACTGTCGCAGAACACAGACGGCTGAAGTATACTTCAGGGCTTTAGAACAACTAATGCCTTGTCCAAATACCCACACTTGCGGTCTTTGCACTTGACCACTTGACTACTTCTATGACGTATTTCCTGTATTTGGTCCAAGTGTTCAAGTGAGCAAGAAGACCACAAGTGTGTGTACAACTTTTCATTACCTGATGGGACAGACTTATAGTGTTGTAAAAATGCAAGTGTTTACAGAGCTTTATTTTTATTTTCAATACTTTGCATTTTAAAATCAACTTCTAAATGTCTGTTCAGTAGTCCCTATAACAGATTACACAATTTCATTTCGTGGTGCTTCTAGTGATAAAAAACTATCACCACTACTCATTTGCACCAATAAAACGTGCAACTCTTTGTTTTACTACCAAATTATATGTAATATCTAATTATTAATAATATTTAACATACATTGGAAAGGTTTCCGTGACCTCTCATGAGATCTCGGCAAAAAGTCTTTATACTAGATTTATTTCCACAACATGATGCATGATGGGATACACTAAGCCTCGAATACCGCTCCGGAGTGGTATTCAAGATAGTGTGCGTTAAGAGCACTGTGCTTTGGCGTTTTTAAGAACTAGGACAGTCTTGCGCACTTACTTCCTGTCGCGCGCACGCACTCTCAAGTGGCTAAGACCGCAAGTGTGGGTATTTGGACAAGGGGTAAGTACAACAACCAAAAATACAGCCACTTGGTAACCTGTGTGACGGATCGGCTGCCTCCCCCCTAATTATCATCATCACCCCGTCCCTTAATCGCCACTCTTCATCAGGCTCCCGACAGGAGTGGGTGTGTGAGGTGAGGTGTGTGGCGGCATGTGATGAGGCACACCTGAAGTCAATGAAGCCTCGTCACCGGCGGTGTTAAATGGCGAGCGCGCCTCTCCTCGAGAGACTGGTCTCTTCCCCCTGTGCATGCACAATGGTGTCCTCATGGGTCCAGGAGGGGAGCGTAGAGGGACTCCCACGCCGCCAGAGACGCGAGCTGCCGGACCCGTGGTCCGGAATGGAGATACATCCGTGACGCTGCCAACGGGCCAGGATGCCGTGCCAATAATCCCCTCAAGCGCGTGGCTCAGGGGAGATGAGCCGCTGTGAAGAAGCCGCCGCCCCTCGCGCCCCGGACCACAGAGAGGAGCACGTGTGGCCACTGGACTCCGCCCATTACCCCTCCTTTCCGAACACTGCCCTTCCTTCACAATTCCCCGGCACAACGAGGACACCAGATCCCCTGTTAATTTTGGACACTCCTTCCCCTTTGGACACTTTATTCCCCGTTTTGGACATTTTATGTTTATTTTCTGTTAAATAAAAGCCTCTCCGAGGCCTGACGCCACACCCACTGTGTCTGTCGTTTGCTCCTCCCACCACACCTGTCAGAATGAACACTCCTTCAGGAGCGAAACTGCTTCCCAACTAATAGTGCTTGTGGCAATTCAGATCCAATGCTCACGTTTATATGAACAAACATGTAGATTCATATGGTTACTCTACATATTATCACAAACTGCAGGTTGTCCATACTGTATCTTGGCAGAATTCACATTTGAAGAGATCTTCTGAGCTTAACTCTGTTACATCTCAGCATCTCTCCTCTGTTTTCTTGTATTAGGGAAGCTTTTGCAGGTCAACACATCAGCAAAGGAGCAGCTATTTTTTGAGGCCCCTCGTGGAAAGAAGCAAACAATTCCTGCTACAGAGGTATGGATCCTGAACATCTCACCGTGTGTCACCCTGGGAGGGAGAAGGGCACTCTTAAGGGCAAGAACATGGCCCACTTTTCATTAGCTTGTCTCTAAATTTGGAGGCAGGGAATTAGGCCGTGCTTAAGGCCACCGGTACGCTTAAGATTTAGTAAGAGCTGGAAGCCCTTCAGTGTTTCTGATCTCCTGCCTTTAGCTAAGTGTGCAGCTTCTGTAGAAGGCCCTTTGGCCACAGCCCCTGTTGGATTGAGTTGGATTTTAATATCGAAATAAATGCTGCCAATTCATTTTCATTAAAAGTGTTGCTCAATTCCAGTTATTCTTCACAACATACAGCTTTAGAACAAACTCTTTATATTGTTCTTATTAGCGGAACACTTGGTGTTTATTAATTAAATTAGTCTGCCTTTTGATGTAAATGTCTTTTCGTGCTGTCTTTTCCTTCCTCAGGTGGACAAGATCGACTGGAGCACATGGACATGTGTGCTTGGAAGTTCCTGTGAGGGAATTTGGCCTGCGGTCAGTGAAGTTACTGAAGTTACTTCCGCATGTCTAAGCAATGACAGGAAGTTGCTAGCTACTGGGGATGACCTTGGATATGTCAAGCTCTTCAAATATCCAGTCAAGGTTAAGAAAGTGTTATTTAATCATTAATTATTACGGTCACCCATACTACGGGATAGTTGACCCAAAAATGTAAATTTGTCATCATTTACTCAGCCTCACGTTGTTCCAAAAAGTATGAATTTATTTTTTTAAGCTGTGAAACACGAAAGAAGATATTTAGATATATATTTTTATGTATGTATTTATTTATTTTCATTTTGGATCAAGATTCATTCGATTTTTAGATATACTGTATACACTGAACAAAAATGATACTTTGAGCTTTATTTTTGATACTTTGAAAAATTATACTTTTGATAATTTGGAAAAATATTTGTCAGACAAATATATTAGTTTTTCTCAAATTATATTCAAGGTGTGGGTCAAACCTCACATTTTGATTTAATATGAGTAAAAGTAGAATTTTCACTTAGTACAAAAATAAAAACATTTTGTTACTCAGTGTTTAATTTAGTTTGCTTTCTAAGAATAAATGTTTATCCTCATGTCTTTTTCATGTTGGAAGTTATTTACTAAAAACACCAGAAAATGAATAAAAGCCACAATATTTTCTGCAGTCAGTAAAGCTTGCCAGTATGTGTTCTGCACATCCACACTGTTTTTTTTTTTTTTTAAAGACTTATTTTTGGCCAGCTGAGTATGGAAAACAGACAAGAAGTGAAGTAGGAGAATTTTTATTTTTTTTATTATTTTTTTATGGGGAGAGTTAGTTGCTTTTAGACAATCTGAACAAAACAGGTTTAAATCAGAAACCATGAAAAAAATTACTTTATATAATTGACATATGTTTAGCCTTTTTTGGGTGTAGGTGGCTCTCATTTTAGATATTTTAAATGATCATTTACCTTCATACATGTTAACATTTTCATGATCTCAATAGGGGAAATATGCAAAGTTTAAGCGGTACATGGCCCACAGTACCCATGTGACTAATGTGCGCTGGTCGCATGACGACTCTTTGCTGGCGTCGGTCGGTGGCTTTGACACCTGTCTGATGATCTGGAGCCATGAGACCGAGGGCCGCCGAGAGGCCAGACAGTGTGACAGTGAGGAGTCAGACATCGAGAGCGAAGACGATGGAGGTGAAAAAGATCATTCATAAAGAACAGTTATTACTGTCATCCACTGTCATCTAGATTTAAAGAGGGTAGCCATCCATCATATGATAAAATGTTCATTTAAATGCCGTATGTCATGATATAAAAGTGAGGCGTCTCTCTATCTGTGTAGGGTATGACAGTGATGTAACTCGGGAGAATGAGATCATCTATGTAATCAAGGCCTTATCCACAAACGTGCGACTCATGACGGGGGTCAAACCCCACTTACAACTGAAGGAGCCGTCGGTAGATGAAAGGTAAGTTTGGAATCACACCCAATGTGGCATCTGTGTTTATAGCAACACTGTGAACAGTTCTGCAGTATAATGTGACTGTAGGTACACACTCTAAAAAATGCTGGGTTAAATACAACCCAATTGCTGGGTTTGTCACTATTTTACCCAGCACTGGGTTGTATTTAACCCAGCATTTTTTTAGAGTGCAGAATTATGGAAAAACTGCGGATGCAACACAGATTGCTTCTCATTTTTTTTCATTACTGAATCTTTATTTGGCAGCTTAAGGAATCTAACAGGGTTTAAATAAGTATTTATAGATATATTTAATATATTTTAGGGATGCAGTATATGTATTTAAACCATATTCGTTATCGACTGATGTTAGTGATTTAAATGTATTGGTATTGGTCAGTATTGGATATTTATGCATGGTATTTTCCCCATTTTTACATTTACTCACAAAATATTTAATAACATGAATAATTTAATAACACTAATACATTTAATTAATTTAATAATCATAAGCTAATGTTGAAAGGAAAATCTATCTTTCATACTTTCAGTTACTAGTTTGTAATAACATTTAAATTTGACTTTTGTTTTATTATTTTTTTCTAATTTTATTTATAGTATCTTTTTTATTTTTATGTATTATATATTTATTTATTTTCTATATTTTTTACTAGTACAAACTAGTACATACTTTTAATATTGGACATTTATCCATTATGTAAAATAATTGTCTGCCTGTCAGAAATGGCTAGATTTTTTATGTCAGTGCATCCCTAATAGAGTTGTTTTAAATACTAGCAAATATACTGAATACTCTTAGTTTTCCACTTTATTGCTTCTCTGAACTCTTGTATTTTAAATTCACCACCACTTTACCACTAATATGCCATTTTGAATAAGCTCATGTTGGTGGCACACTCTAAAGCCAAACTATTTACTGTTCGAATACCAAACTCTTTCCAAACTGGAATATCAAACCGTCTTTCACAGGAATGTTCCTGATTAAATACAAGTTTATCTTATCTTACCTTTTTTACTATAGAAAATAATTTCGATTTGCTTTTCGAATATTGCATTTACAATAAAGCACTTACAATGGAGGTCTATGGGCGAAGGCATTTCCTTGTGATTGGAATACATTCTGTTTCAAAGGTATGGCCACAAGGTTCATACATTTTGGGCCAGATTTACTAACAGGTTGCGCCAGTGCAAACCCTCTTTTGGCGTTAAAAAATGACTGTCAGGATTTACTAAAGACACGCAGTGAGAAATTTGTTATGAAAAGGTGTGGACACAGTCATTTTTGCGGCTGAACTTATTGCTTATGCATTTGTAGGAGTGTCCCTTTCAGACACAACATTTATGAGAGGAGAGTATTTAAATGAATCACGCAACATGATTTACTAAGGTTTGCTGTAGTCAATTTACTGGTATTTGCGCGATTATTTACCACCCAAAAAAGGATGTCTTAACTCATTTTGTGCTTGACATGGCTGCGATTGTTGCTGAAAACAGAGAGCGCCTGTAAAGATCTCATCTCTGTGCTGCTGTTCCCCTCGTGATCTGCAGTGGGCGCTCTCCTCAAGCCTCTAGGTCAGAGATGGGCAAACTCGGTCCTGGAGGGCTACTGTCCTGCAGAGTTTCGCTCCAACCCTTATTAAACACACCTGAAGCTAATCAAGGTCTTCGGGATTACTAGCCCTGCGTTCCATTCAGAAGGGCTCATCCCTATGCCCTAATCCCTTCAAAGGGTTTACCCTTCGGAGTGAGAGCTTCGAAGGGTTGAAGGGTGTAGGGGACCAAACAACTGTTTCTTGAAGTGCCCTTCTGCGTCATCATCACGTGCCCACACGGAGGCGCCGTCATCATGCAAAGAATCTGCACAAAGGATCATGGGAGCCCGAAGTGTCCATCAGTTGTACCCTTCGAAATCCTTCATTCCTTCATTCGGTTTGGAATGACCCTTCAATATGGCGGACATAATTGTTTTCACTCCGAAGTGCCCTTCGGAGGGCGATATATCCCGTTTGGAACGCACCTTAGAAGGCTACAGGCAGGTGAGTTTGATCAGGGTTGGAGCACCAGTGGCCCTCCAGGACCGAGTTTGCCCATCTCTGCTCTAGGTCATGCTCCAGATGGCACTTTAACCCCAAGCTCAGTGCTCTCCACTCCTGCAGTTGGCACTATGGGCACAAGCGTAGTGACGAACTTCCGCTGTCCCCAGAAGTCGGGATATCAGTTTCCGGTTTACTTTGGCATCGCCCAAAATGGCAGTATTTACTAGATGTCTCCATGATCTGCCTAAAATAAACATCAGCGATGTCCATAGTATCGTTGATGCCTGGTCCCCTGCTTATTTTAGGCAGATCTTGGAGACATCTAGTGGTGACATTCTGGTGACAGCAGAAGATCATTACTACGCTTGTGTGCAGAGCCCATTGTATCTATTCCCTCTCGGTACTCTCCTCATTAGCCCTGATTCCCTTCACCTGTTTTTTGCCCTTTATAAGTCTGCTTGTTCCCTGCCATTGTGTTCAGTCTTGAGCCTTTGTACTCCAGTCACCAGATCTCAAGTTAAGTTTGTGCCTTATTGTACCTTTTTGACCCTTGTGTCTATTTATACTTCTCTGTTTTGTGGAAGCTATGCTATCCTAGTTTATTTGTACTTTGTAACCTTGGTTTCTCAAGTAAAGATTATTTTATTTTTTGGAAGACTCGAGTCTCCTGGCTCGTTACTCTTCTGCTCTTGAGTGCCATTGTTTGGGAGTTAGTTCAGTGGAGAACACACCACTCTTAGAACAGCATTGACCCAGGTTCGAGTCCCGCCTAAGGTGACCTCATTACAGTGCGTGGCAGAAGGGAGAGAATTTTTTCCACTCATATTAATTTATTGGGAATGCCAGAGGAAGACATTATCCGAACATATCCTTACGCTAATTTGCTTTGCTCTTGATAGATTGCATCAGCCATTATGGAAATGAGATATTACATCTGCATTCTTTCATTTGCACATTGTCAGTAGATCACCTGCAGAACTTTCCACTCCCATCGGTGCTTTTATGGATTTGCGCTCTTGCTCTAATTTGCCCTGTTTAGTAAATCTGATCCTAAATAGGCTAACATGAGAACAGTGACCTTGCTTACCAAAAGTTCATTCACTTAGAACAGTAGTGTCACTGACTGCAGGGACTATGGCAGGGCAGGGGGCAATAAGTCTGAAAAATATTTAAATTTAGTTATATTAACAATCTTAATTAAAATGCTAAAGAAACACTACAAATAAAAATGTACAACATTAAACTGACATCATATTTTTGTGTTTATTTACTTTTTTTTTATTACAACAGAAGTACCAGCAGTGCATATCAGCTTAGATAGGAGGGCCTTTAAATATTTTCTTGGACAAAGAAAGGTCTTAAAGTCAAAAATGTTAAGAACCACTCATATAGACTGTTTGAGAGTTTAAATAACACACAGTTTTGTACTGAATTGTATGAAAATACATGCTTCACATAAAACAATTGATTATCTTGCCCATAGATTTCCAATGTAAATGCATATGCAATTTTTGTTTTTTCAAACTCAAAATTTAGCTTAAATTGTATTGAAAAGGTTTATTAACAATTTTACCACAATAGTTAGTTGAACAATAGTTAAAAACATTGAAAACAATGAGTGTGAATTCATGGAACACTTCGACTTTGAGTGACATGCTACCCTCATGTCTGTCTTTTCCAATTTTCCTCACTCCTCTGTCTGTCTCTGCACTCCACTCCTCTCTCTCACCATGTGAAGGCAGGGCGTAGTCAGGTAAGAAGATCAATGAAAGTGTCATTTATTCAGAAAAGTTTCATGTGCTGCCTCCTCTTCTGCTCTTTGGATGTTTGCTATACCGCACAGCAACAGCCATCATATTCATAAAACCGCCTGTCGCTAAGTTTTGCTTTTTTTTAAGCTCAAGATGCTTTAAAAGCAGGTAATTTCAGTCTTAAATTAGAGTAGATGGCACAGCATTATGTTAAGTGCTTTGCTGGCAGATATTTTGTCATTGCTTTGAAGTGACTTTATTACTGCTCTCTACTGCTAATTATTTAAAGAGTAATGCTGCTTCTTTGGCTGCTGGGAACTTTGCTCATGCTTTGCTCCCTGCATTCCCTCTGAAGACGATTCAAGGATTAGTTCACCCAAAAACAGAAATTCTGCCATCTTTCACCCGCATTCTCTTTCAAACCGTACTTTCTTCCAGTGAACACAAGGAGAAATGTAAGTAATGTAATTGGTCACTTAGGTTCCAGTGTCCCCATGACCCTACAGGTAGTTTGGAAAATGGATTGATGTGTGGATGGATTCACTCTTTTTCATGCAATGACAATAAATGTGGACTGAAGCTTTCAACCTTAAAAAAAAATCATGCACTAAATTACAAAGTTTCTAGGCCAAACTATTATTTATTCACTCTTGTTGTTAAAGGGGCAGTCCGATTCGTGTTTATTGAAATAACCTGATTTACTGGTTTACATGAAAATCAATAACCTGACAATGTAAGTAAGTATGTTTACATTAAAAAAATAAAAACTGTTTATTCCCCAGTTGAATAACCATGTATTCTACACTGTAAAAAAAAAGTCCGTAAAATTTACGGTAAAAACAGGCAACTGTGGTTGCCGGAATTCTACCGTAAAAAATACGGTAGCAACGTTTTAGGTTTTACGGTTTTAACTTAAATTTACAGTTAAATACCGTAATTTCATTAACTGATATAATGTTAATATACCAACCTATTGAAGTACTGAAATCTGTTTTGTACCTTTGTAATACACTGATAACCACCAAATCCAGGTGGTGATGAGAAAGTCACATGATGAAACAAAGCCCATCACAAGCAGCTTTTAAATAATAAAATATATAGAAGGTGCACAGTGTCATTCACACAAACACCAAACACCATCATGGTAACACACATGAAACTGAAATAATGCAATAAACATTAATTTAACAACATTAGGTGTAACACACAACCCTAATATACAAAACTGATAAGAAAAAACTAAAAAGAAACATAGTTATTTCAACAAAAAAACATCAAATTTGAAATGTAACGCAGGGAATTCTGGGAATGTCAATTTACGGTTATTCACTGTAAATTATACGGTATTTTTCACTTCCAAAAACGGTATACTACCGTAAAATTAATGTCCAATACATGTAATGTCCAATACAGTTTTTCACCGTATATAGTAGGGGAATTTACCGTTAACCATTTAACAGGTTTTTACTGTAGCATTTTTACAGTCTTTTACCATTAAATTCACGGTCATTTTTTACAGTGTATGAC